CCTGCATCTGTGCTGTCTCCACATCTGTTCCCATGTCCACATCTGTATCCATGCCCACAACTGGACACATGCCTACATCTGTACCCATGTCCACAACTGTACACATGCCCGTATCTGTACTGTCTCCACATCTGTTCCCATGTTCATATCTGTATCCATGCCCACAACTGTACAGATGCCCACATCTGTACCCATGCCCACATCTGTACCCATGTCCACATCTGTACCCATGCCCACATCTGTACCTATACTCATCTGAACTTTCCCTCGAGTAGGATATGAATGAAGAATCTGCCAATAGTTCCTCATTAGGAGCAACTTTAATCATTTCCTCATGTTTGAAGGCAAATTTTCAAGTCTCTAGGACCTTGCCTAGTGTTGATAATCTTCTCACTCTAGGCTAGAGAAAGATGCCAGCTCCCTAGCAGGACTGCTTCCCACTAGAGCCTGGTTAATATGAAACATAGCTTTATCGGGAGAAGAACTCAGATTTGATTTTGGGCCCTCTTATTCCTTCTAAAACCCAAATAGACTAGCTAGCTGACCAAGGAAAAACAGTTGTTTTAAATTTGGTGTAATTTTGAATCAAACCAACAATGCTTAATGCTATCCAACTTAGATATTTTTCTATGCACAAGACACTTGCCTAAGTCCTACAAAGATTGATGTTTAGCCTCACGCTTTGTAAAATATCAAAGCAAGCTTGTGTTTCTGACAGTCGTACTGCCAGCTCACTGGATTCAGAGGGAAAGATTTTTATAAAAATCATCTCTGTCAGGGTGGGAAGTCTTCATTCACTCAAATAGTAGATTTGGAAACCAAAGAAGCTAAGATGTGAGAGCTCCGCTAACCAGCCAAAGTGCTTGCAGATCTGTAAAACATGGCATTGCCCCAGGCCGTACATCGCTTTCCCCTTCTCAGATGCTCCATTCTGGTTTGTGAAAGTCCGGTTTTTATCTAGGGGCCTCACTCACCTGATACTCCAGTTTTCACCTAAAGAATACTAAATGATTCAAAAAACAAAGACACCAGAGATCCACAAGGAACATCAGAGTCCTAGCTCAAGTTCTAGATCTTTCTGGCCTGGCCACATGACTAGAAGCAAGTTACTTCACCTATCTGAGCCTCAAAGTCACCATTTACAAAATGGGTACAGTAATACTGACCTCTGTGCATTTGGTAAGAGTCCAGGAACATACCTGTGGGGAGTTGAACTATCATGCCCCTCCCCATTTAACAAATATTTGCGAGGTGTTGGATACTAGCAATGAGGACATAACACAGACAAATGATCTCCTCCCTCCAGTAGTGTGTGGTTGAGCAATAGCCACCACTCTAGTGGCATCTCAAAAGATGCCCCACATAACTAACCACTTGGAATACAAATATAAAGCACAAACGTGTATGATACTGCCTCACATGTACTGGAACGTCTACTGTCGAACAAAACCAAACAGGAGATAAATGTGAGGGCATGGAGAAAACGGGACCTTGGGCACTGTTGGCGGGAGTGCAAAATGGGGTGGCTGTTAACAGAAAGTAATGAGGTTCAACAAAATATTCCAAATAAACAAAGAACTATCACACGGCAATTTTATTTGTAGGTATTTATCCAAAGCAGTTAAAGACCTCGAAGAGAGCATGTCGTTCCTATGTTCACTGTGACATTACTGACAGCCGCTAAGAGGTGGAAGCAATCCAAATGTTCATCAACAGATGAACAGAGAAGGTAAACATCAAATACAATTCAGCCTTTAAATGTGGATTGATTGATTGATTTGTGTGTGTTCATGCATATGGCTGCCCATGGAGGTTAAAAATGGACATCAAATTCCCTGAACTGGAATTTTAGGCAATTGTAAGCAACCTGATGAGGGTGTTGAACTGAACCCAGGTTCTCTCCCAAAATATTGAGAGCCCTCACAGCTGAGCCACCTCTCCAGTCCTATAGTTCAGTTTTTGAAAAGAAGGAAACACCCCCTTGCTTGTGGCAATCCAGAGGCTATGTGATGGTTTGTAAGAGTGTTCGGTTCCTAGTTGGTGAACTGTTTGGAAGTATCAAGAGGTGTGGCCTTGTTGGAGGAAGTGTGTCACTGCGGTGGGCTTTGAGGTTTCAAAGCCCATGCCAGGCCCAGTGTCTCTCTGCCTGGCTTGTCGATGAGGATGTAGCTCTCAGCTGCTGCTCCAGCACCAGGCCTGCTGCCTGTCACCAAGCTCCCTGCCACGATGGCCATGGGCTAGTCCTCGGAAATTGGGAGTAAGCCCCCATTAAAAGCTTTCTTCTGTAAGATGTTTGGTTGTGGTGTTTCATCACAGCAGCAGGACATAATGAAGATAGAACGTGTCTAAAATGAGCATGAACACACAAGCAGAAGACAGGACAGTAGCTGCAAGGGCTGAGGAAGGGGTGAGGGGAGAATGGAATGAGTTTGGCTTCAAGATGATGATGCTCTGAACATCTGCTGTGTGATGTGGTCTCTCTGCTCAACAATATTGCATAGCGTGCTTAAGCATCTGCTAAGATGACTCGGTATTGTTCCTGCTGCAATTAGAAAAGATAAATGCTTTAAATCTAGGGTGTGATGATGTTCGCATAACGCTAAAAGTTTAATAAAATTTATTGGGTTATACATTTTAGATGTGTTTGTGATATACACTTATGCTAGAACTAAGATGCTTTAAAAAGAGTCATTATTAACTTGGTGGACCACTTAACGTTAGTTAAAGTTCTATTGTTGGTTAAAGTCCATCGCTAGTGTCATTATTCCTCCATTATTTACTTTCCATGTGACTAAATAACTGTTAAGAAGCAATGCACAAGAGATTGGATTTATCTTGGCTCATGGTTTGAGAGGGTTCAGCTCCTTGTGGCGGGAAGGTATGGCAGCAGGACCAGCTCGTTGGCTGTGGGGGTGCGAAGCTGCTGGGTAATCACCTCAGCAATCAGAAAATGCTGAGATTGGCTAGGAAGTGGGCTTGAGCTATGACTCTCAAAGTCTGCTCTACCAGTGGCCCACCTCACTAACAAAGTTCCATTTTCCAAAGGTTTCACAGCCTCCCCACGTGGTACCACCAACTGGAGGCTATCCATTCAAATACACAAGCCTAGGAGGGGCACTCTACATCCAAACCCTGACACCCTCCCAAGCCTCCTTTGCTTTCCTCATTTTTCTTCATAACCATCTTCTGGAACAACACACCTTATCTTCCATGTATAGTGACTTCTAAGTTTCAAGATTGGTTCTTTCTTATTTTAGCATACATGACACTAGTATGCATTCTGCAGCTGGAAGCAGCTAGTCAGCAGTGTTTTTTCCTTTCCAACACATAGACTTCTAGTGCATCTTTTGTCACTGTCATTTAGAGATGACAGGCTATAGCACCGTGATCCTGCTTCTTACCTAACTCCCCCTCTAGAATGTCTCTTCCACGAGATGGAGGAGCCTTGATTTTGTCTGTTGCTGTATTCCAGCCTCCTAGGATAGTGCTGGTGCACAGTAGGTCCTTAGTAAACATTTACTGAATGAATGAACAAATGCCATGCCTATTGTCAATCAACTAATGATGAAACAAATGGATGGTTTAATTAAAAGGAAGCCTTTTGCCTCCTCTGTTCCAGGATTCTGGGAAAGTAACCTTCCTGACGGACTGCCTTGTCAGGGGTCTTTTCTACTCATCCTCCAGGGAAGGAAGAGTGAGCCAGGAGGCTGGGATGGGGCTCACTGTAGAACATGGAGTTACTATGCACAGGGCCTAGGTTCAATCCCAGGATGCAAACCAAAGCAAAACAAAATAAGCAAAATGTACAGTGACCTGGAGGCGACATCCCTAGATTGCAGGGACAGTTCTCATGGGTCCCAGCAGC